GTTTTAGGTAGGAATTATATCAAGGCTTACGTTCTTATGCCAAAGAAACACACCTCCAGAACAAGCCATTTTGTACAATTCATCGCTTCTGCAAAACTTTCAGAAAAAGTCTTTTGATTATCCCATCTATATACTATGTTATGACCATATGAGATAGAAGACTCCTCTTCCAGCTTCAGACTCGCATGCGCAGCGAGTAGAACTTGCTCGAACATGCTTCGATGCATTGCTTTCTACTTCGAGTGAAGGTAATGGTCGACTCGGCAATGTGGCTGTTGCAAGTCTTCTGCAGCGGTGCTCTCAGGTATGTATTCTTATTGCTCAAATCGTCACTGAATGTGAAATGAATTTTCTAATTTGTATCGCAGGTCATGAATGATTTCGTACACGATTGGAACGGAATCGGAGATTTGCGACTACCACGCGGTCGAATAGCTGAAATAACTTCAGCTCTTCAGGCAGTTGATTCGCTTATTGGACGACTTGCCAGGTTGGAGAGATCACAATATTGTACTTTTCCTGTGAACAACTATACAGCTCACTTGTTTCAAAAGATGGACTTTCTAGAGCTTTTGCACATGATCTTCTTCATTTCTTTCCATGCGAAAAGCTGTTACTCAGAAGTATTTTGTAGTTCTATAATACTCCCTAGCACCTTTTGTCATAAATGAGTTGGGAAAACATGAACTATTTAAGAATTTAGGTTGTCATTTCAGGGAGCCAACACAGTCAGAGCTATATTCCCAGCTAGTTTCGCTCTATCCCAGTGTTGTGAATGTCGTGGGTTGCACTCGTTCTGATCCAATGTTGGAGTCACAGCTGATTGCTACTCTTAAATCGTATCAGACTTTGTTGCTTTTAAAAATTGTCCCTAAACTTGCAAAGGAGAGCTGACCTTTCTCTTATCTTTTATTTCTAAGTATTGCACATTTTATTCTTCGCAAAAGTTTAATGTAACTGGTAGGCTATGGTTGTATACAGTCAACTAATCATCAAAGTGATAGTATTCGAGGTAAGAAGACCTTTCTGATGTTCCATCTGTGATGCAATTAGTATCGCATGCTATAGAGTAAAATGCATGCGTTCTATCCGTTTGTTTTTTTT